AAAAAAAAAAAAAAAAAAAAAAAAAAGTCCAGCTTACCGGAGCCACAGGGAATTAAACAGTCACAGCCACATGGAGAGCACACAAAGGATCTGAGGAGAGTGAAGCCTGCAGTCACACCTGCAGTCTCACCTGCTGCCAATCAGCCCCTCCTCCAGTTCCTGTCTCCCCTGATTGGTCTCTGGCCTAGTGACCTACTGCTACAACTCGAAAAGGAGTGGGAAGAAGAAAACTTATTTAATCCCACCCCCGTTTCTCATCAACAACTTAACACACTGAGTTAAATACTTCCTCCTGTCTTTTAACATCAAACCAGGACAATGAACAAAAAGGCCTATACCAGAATCTAATAAACTTATTCCACAGTATTAACATTATATAACCAGAATGTGTGTGAAAAAAGGAACAATGTACATTCATGATGGTATTACCACGAGTGACAGTTAACCGTTAACTTACATTATATAATAATTACATACCAGCAATGGTAAGAACAACAATACCAGAAAGGTAATGGACAATACATAACACATCCCCGCAAGATCAAACACCGCAAAAGTTAGTAAAGGACGTGTTGAAAACGGTTGAAAACTGCTACACAACCGGAGGTGGTAGGGCGGGACTTCAGCGGGTGGCTCGATCCGCCCAATGAGAGGCTGATCTATGCAGCGAACTTCCGCCCACTCAGACTAATGGAGCTCTGACATTGAGAGCAGAGAGGCAGTAGGAAACTACACTCTGTTAACATAATATTTTCTTTTTGTACAAGAACGTAGATTTGATAATATGATATGTGAATCATCATCACTCACACATGGAAAAAAAAATTAATTTCTTTTTTCTTATTTTCTTTTTTTAAGTTAATTGCTCTTGGGGGCCCCCTAGTGGTCACAGGGCCATAAGCAGGTGCTTAGTTCGGTGATGCCTTGGGCGGCTCTGACCTAATAACAATTAAATCCCATTCTTTTCTGACTTCATTTGGCGTTTCCCCTTATTGATATGTTTATTGGTCTTTTGAATCAGAACAAATTTGGTTTTATCATTGTAAAAGTAAATAAAGTAAATTTAAAATTGAATGTAAATTTGTGTCTGAAACAACTGAAAAATTAAAATTGGAGCTTTGAACAAAATGAGCATTATTGCCTTCATTTTAGACTTGACACCTGCNCAAATACCTCAGCCTCACCCCTACAGTACCCTAACAATTAAAATGCTAACATGATTATGAAACAATGCTAAAAAAAAAAAAAAAAAAAAAAAAAAGTCCAGCTTACCGGAGCCACAGGGAATTAAACAGTCACAGCCACATGGAGAGCACACAAAGGATCTGAGGAGAGTGAAGCCTGCAGTCACACCTGCAGTCTCACCTGCTGCCAATCAGCCCCTCCTCCAGTTCCTGTCTCCCCTGATTGGTCTCTGGCCTAGTGACCTACTGCTACAACTCGAAAAGGAGTGGGAAGAAGAAAACTTATTTAATCCCACCCCCGTTTCTCATCAACAACTTAACACACTGAGTTAAATACTTCCTCCTGTCTTTTAACATCAAACCAGGACAATGAACAAAAAGGCCTATACCAGAATCTAATAAACTTATTCCACAGTATTAACATTATATAACCAGAATGTGTGTGAAAAAAGGAACAATGTACATTCATGATGGTATTACCACGAGTGACAGTTAACCGTTAACTTACATTATATAATAATTACATACCAGCAATGGTAAGAACAACAATACCAGAAAGGTAATGGACAATACATAACACATCCCCGCAAGATCAAACACCGCAAAAGTTAGTAAAGGACGTGTTGAAAACGGTTGAAAACTGCTACACAACCGGAGGTGGTAGGGCGGGACTTCAGCGGGTGGCTCGTTCCGCCCAATGAGAGGCTGATCTATGCAGCGAACTTCCGCCCACTCAGACTAATGGAGCTCTGACATTGAGAGCAGAGAGGCAGTAGGAAACTACACTCTGTTAACATAATATTTTCTTTTTGTACAAGAACGTAGATTTGATAATATGATATGTGAATCATCATCACTCACACATGGAAAAAAAAATTAATTTCTTTTTTCTTATTTTCTTTTTTTAAGTTAATTGCTCTTGGGGGCCCCCTAGTGGTCACAGGGCCCTAAGCAGGTGCTTAGTTCGGTGATGCCTTGGGCGGCTCTGACCTAATAACAGTTAAATCCCATTCTTTTCTGACTTCATTTGGCGTTTCCCCTTATTGATATGTTTATTGGTCTTTTGAATCAGAACAAATTTGGTTTTATCATTGTAAAAGTAAATAAAGTAAATTTAAATTTGAATGTAAATTTGTGTCTGAAACAACTGAAAAATTAAAATTGGAGCTTTGAACAAAATGAGCATTATTGCCTTCATTTTAGACTTGACACCTGCTCCATTCTTTGTGCATTGAAAAGTGTGTGACACCAGGTTCACATACACTGTAAACCAACACTGAATTACACATCACACCTCGAGCTGTCAGCATACATGTCTGGCCACATGATACCAAGTTTAAGAACTGCCTGCTT